ACGAGTGAATGGAATAGAAAGAAGAAGAAAAAAAAAAGGTATTGCTGAATTGCTGTTCTCCAGTATTTGAACAGACAGTTGCAATTACCTTTCTAATGATTTCAGACAGAGTCTAAAAGGACATAGGAGCCCTGTACTATATATGCGAGTACAAGATTCTCATAGACAGCCATTCTTAGCTCAGGTTCATTGCTTCTTTCATTATTACAGAAAGTCTTTCTCTTTCCATTTGCATCAAAATGCTCACTCCACTTTGGTGATCTCTACCTGTTCAGCCTGGATTTAATTTTAATGCCTATTTACTGTGACACCAAGAAATCGTAAAAATGAACCTGTGTTATTTGACTTGCTTCCCAATATTTTTTAAAATTATTACAATGTTTCATAATTAATTTTAAAGCTGCAAGGAAAATACATTTTTAGTATATTTATATTTTCACATGGTGTACTTAATTACTCAGTACTCTATTTTTTGTATTTTATGTATGTGTAAAGAATAGATGTGCTGAACTAATCTGTTATTAGAAATACTGACTGAAATTGTGATAGGCCTGAGTTATATTTTTAAATTATTATACATATGAGTACACTATAATACTATCAATCTAATTATTTATTCAAACTGTAGGTCACAATAGCAGCAACTTAGAAATATTTTGCTCACTGATTTTATCTTCTAAGTTTAGATTTAAGAAAATTAGAGTAAAACTTAACTTCTCTAACAAGAAATCACAAAATGAGATTACTTTTCTTGTCACCATAAAGGGCAGAGATTTCAAATAACTATTTTGTTATTACAATTTTCTGCTATGGAAATAATTTCTAAAATCTAAAAAAGGGGCACTAAAATGAATAGAAAATCTAACCAAAAATATTCCCACTACAATATTGCATCACATATGAATAAAATTTCCTGCTTTCATGAAATGAGGTTTGAATGATGTTTTAATTTATTTTTCCAATTTTATTTAGTTTTTCTTAATTTGAATTATAATTATTATGGATACATAATAGATATCTTATCATGTGTTTTTCTATTAGAGTGATTCATATTATTACATTAAGCTTGAAGTAAACAAAAAGGATAAAAATTCCTATAATGAACTGTGTTTTATTTGAGCAGCAAAGAAACATGACATTTCTCACATTTAGCACTTTGGATAAATATCAAAGAGGAACTGCACAAAGTTTATATATTTCATCTAGTCTTCAGATAATTATAGCATGAACTTCAGTATATATTCATTAATATACAGATTCAGATTTTATCACAAATGTTTTGAGGCACCATAATAACCCATACCTGTTTAAGTAAGGTACCTAATCTATATGATGAAATCATTCAATCTGATCATTTCAAAGGCAAATATCAGCCTTAAATCTGAGAGTCACATAAAGGATCTCAGCATTGTCAGCATAGATTAATGTACAGATAATAGATAGGAGTTTAGTTTATAAACATAATACTTTTTAAAAAGTGCATGCCTGATTAAATGGGTCAGCTAATTAACTTAATGAACATGCATGTTATAGATTATAGTACAGATATTAAAATATTATTGGACATGATTTTTAAATACTTCTAAAATGCTTCTACATACATTGAATTTTATATTTATATTATTATTTCAATTTTTTAATAGGAACTTAAAATGAGACAATGTTGAGAGGGCTACAAAAGTTTTATAATCTTTATGATGCACATTTGTCAGTCATTTTCTATGAATACACACATGTAGGCAGAAATAACTGTTCGAAATGACAAGAACCAAAATTGTTCATATTAAATTAAATACCTCTGTAAGAGGAGTACAGTTGATTTTTAAAATTGTCCTTTGCTAATATATTCTGCCTTCCTCATCAACGAACATGATTACTTTTATTTTATAAGAACAGTAAAAAAATTATTAATAAAAGAATCTATGAATTATTTAGTTCACTTAAGGAATATAAAAACCTTTTACTTCTATAATAATGATACTGGTGTTTCAAGTTCTTGGTTTCCATGATTTGAAGAGTGAATCTAAGGATCACAGATCAGAGGTAAGAGGGATTTATTCACAGAAACAAAGAATACAAAAAATACAAAAACCAAAGCTCTTGGCAGGGAGAACTCAGATGGGGAACAAGAGCTCTTGCTCCCTCATCAAAGTCTGTCCTGGGCTTTCTGGTCAGAGTTATATATAGCCACTAGGGGTTGTTTTGCCAGAAATCAATGTTTACTTTTAGGGCTGGGTCTTTGTCAGTTATAGTCAGCTGTCCAGTGAACTGTCAGGCCTTGGAAACTCACATGAAATTCACCAGTCAGAAGTGCAGGGGGAAGAGACAGCAAGGCCCCAGTGTCTCCCCCCTGCCTCCTAGGACCCTCCTGCCTACCCTTCAGCTTGCTGGTTCCACTGCCAGCTACAGCTGCACCAACACCACCAGGGCTAAGGGGCAGGTCTTGGCACCACCTGTCCTGCATTAGTAAGGATGTCTGTCTTACTTTATAAGCTAATCTCAGATAAGCATTTTTTTTTGTTTTATTTTAACCATCCCCATTACTGATTTAATGAATAATTAAAGGGTCATGATCATCATTTTTTGATTAAATTTATACAACATACCTAAAGATATGTATCATGTATACTAATACTCTATTTCTTATTACCTCATGTTTATCCTTATTTAGCTTGTGTACATTTATAATATTAATAGATCATGGTTTTGGTGAAGTATTAATTACTTTATAAATGTTATGCCTTATACTATATCAGTTAACATGCATCTAATCAACAATTATTAGTTGAACAACAACTATATGTTAACCTTTGTCTTAATGTTAGGTATATAAACAAAAAAGAGATTTACAACATTTTAGCAGAGCTCATAATGCCAAGGGAATTTAATATACAAGCACAGGAGTTCCCCTTGATATGCCAATACTGCTTTTATTCGCAGTTGTAGATGTTTGTGCAAGGTACAGTAGCAAAGTAAAAATACAGATGATTTATCCTTATTAAGTGGCTGTTAGAAACTGAATCTGTAAGGAAATTAGTAGTCCACAAAGGCCATTTGGACAAATACAGAAAACGGTATATAATGTAATGAATTGTTTAAAAAAATGAATGTGAAGAAATTAATATAGAACATTAGATATATCTTAACCATACAACACTTCATTTCTCTGTTCGTGTGTGTATATTTGGGGGAAGGATACACATGTGTGTGCAGATGTGTGTGTTGGAAAGTGAGTGTTTGAAATTATGCTATGTACAATCCTTTCACCCAGAACTGTCACAAGATACATTTTATTAACATCTGTCAGAACATTGTATTTGTAATTTCATCCTTACTATTTGGACCAAATTGTTAGAAGTCATGAAAAATTCAAAAAGGCCTCATTCCTGTATTTTGATAATTTACTTTTCATTGAAAAGAAATAATGCAACTGTTTTGTATATATGTGAAACTATGACAAGTTATATAAGGCAATTTTGATAAGAAAATATAATCAATTATTTAAGTCATTATGTAAGGAACCCTGTTAATATCATTTATTTCACAAGTGATAAATCTTGTTTGATGTCAAAGTAAACATGTTAAAATTAGTGACATTAATACCTTTATCATTGAAACAACACACACATAAGCCTTGAACTAGAATTTTATTCATTTATTTTTATTTACCGATAAGATGAAACAGGCAGTAAACATTAATATTATATTCTTTCTAAAAATAGAGTTAGTAGGAGCAAATTGTTTCAGTATAGCCCTATTTATAAAGAAACTAAAAAAATAAAATATACTAAGAAAAAACTGTGGTTTGGATGAACCAAAATTACTTGAAAATATCAATTGCAGATTGAAAAGCAGACAGTATAAAAAAGCAATCTGAAAATCAAAACTGCATTATCTCTGAAAGGCTCACAGCCAGTAGTTTGATGAAGAAAATTATTATAGTAGAGATTGGAACTGTAATAATTAGCTTTAATTAGTTGATTTACCAATAATGTTCCACTGCTTAGTTCTACTTCTGTGTCCAGGCAGCTTTACAAAATATCAAAAAATTACCAACACGTAATGATTTTTGTATTTTTAAAGGTATAATGAGAATCTTTTCTGTGTCAGATTCTATTCCACAAATCATAACTATAACCCAAACAGTGAAATTTTTACAAAGTGAGCATTTGCATATAACTGATACCCAAAATATTTGCAACTTCCCAGAACCTGCCTCTATACCTCATCCTTTCTCTTCTACTTTCCTACCCCCTGCCACAACCATTATCTTGATGCTAACAGCCTGGATTATTTATGTGCATTTTTGAAAAGAAATAGAGCTTTAAAATATAGATAGGCAAGACTGTATTTGGTGCAATTAAAAGATATAAAATCAATTTAGCATTTCTGGAATGCTATATAACTTTTAAGTATGACATTACATCTAGTCTAGTACACTTCACTTCTATATACACTCTACTACAAAAAGATAATTCCTTCACTCCCCTATGACAATTCTAATTCGATTTAGAATTCATAAAAACTTACACAAACCCAGTAGGCTGAGGACAGAAATTGATTCTCATTCATACATGCTTTCAGTTATTCATTAATCAAAACTTAGCAAAAGACCTATTACATGCAAGATTGTGTGAGTTATGAAAACATGACTCCCCCTAAGAGGCTATCAGTAGAGAGGTCCAGAATAGCAGGTAAATAAATGTTTGCAATTTAAATACTTGAATGCCTTAGTAGTCTAGGGACATGTGGCATACACTAGAGCAAAAAAGATAGAATAGCAGCAAAAAGAAGCCATGATAATTTTGCTTTAAGGAAATAACAATGAGATTTTTTAGATTAAGGGAAATTGTAAAGAATCTGAAGTATAAAAGTATATAATATATCATTAATTTATGTGAGTTTTAAGTTTTATATTTTAAAATGCCATCTGTATTTAAAATTTGTTAAGATAAAAATATGAAATAGACAAATATGCATGCTAAATTATTTAAGAGGATGCATTTACCTGGGAGGGGAGATACTATGATCACAAAGGTGGTTTTCCCAGGACATGGCTTATCCATTGCACTCTGGAGGAACTAACCCCTGCAATTTCCCCAAATATGGGAAACTTGACTGCATAATTTGTGGTAGTCGGGGACTGTGTTCATGCTCTCCCCTGATCCTGTTTTAAAAAAAAAGAAAAACTTTTTTCCTCAGCTACATCAAAACATATTTGTAAAGTCTAAGAAATCAGACTGGTTTGTCTACAGAAAACATAAGGGATACTTTCTAACAAATGTTTAATATTAATTGTGAAGGATAAATTAAAAGCATTTTATGTCAATTTTTTTTTTTTTTACTTTAGCAACCATGCTCACTTATTAAATCAAGCATAAAATATCAGATGTTTTTTAAGAATCTTAAAAACCACTATCAAGATATAAATGTGTAAAAAAAAAAAGATATAAATGTATGTGTGTGTGTGTGTGCACATATGGAGCTCTCACAGAAACTTTTGGAGTTTTCAATAGTAATTGTTTTATAGAACAATACCACAACCTGGATATTGACACTGATAGAATTCACTGATCATTATTTCCCCAGTTTTACTTGTATGTATGTGTGTACATGTGTGAGAGAAAGTGAGGGGAGAATGGGGAGGAAAGGGAGGAAGAGACAGAGAGTTAATGTGCTGCAGAGAGGGTGTACCTGGGCTTGGTCAGTGCCAGCCACCAAGGAGGACCTGCCACACCTTCTGCATCTCTGTCTCCGGAGGGTGATGGTGCCATAGGTGAGGGGAGGCGAGCACTGGAGAAGCAAGTGAGACAGAGAGGGGCCAGCTGGGTGAAAGCCTGCGGGTCCCTAGTTAGTTGAGGGAGACCAGGATATAGGCCATGCTGCTGCCGGTGCTACCCCCAGAACCTCCCTTGGACTTAGAGAGCCCTCCTATGGCTGCACTACTCCCTGTGAGCATGTTACAGTCCCAAGGGGGGACATTTCACATTCAGGGGACCCCTCATTTCCTTGACCTGGTCAATTTCATGTAAGTTTCCTAGGCCTGGCCAATTTCATGAATGAACTCTAGCCATTCATTAATGTATTCCTTTATCTTACCCCAGCGGAAGGGACTGCATCCATTCATTAATGCACTTATTCATCTTGAGTGTATTCATTAATACATTCCTTTATCTTACCCCAGCAGAAGGGATTGTATCCATTCATTTCTTACCAAGTTCTGGTCTAATGTAACTACAGAGGACCCATGCAACTATATGTACCCCTAGACAAAGAACCCAGGCAGAGAGAGATTTTTTCCCACTTGGGTTTTTCCTTCTGCCAGGAGCTCTGGTGCTTTTTCTCTGTATTCTTTTCTGTAAAATAAGTCCTGTTGTACCACTGATCTGTGGTCCATGGAATCATTCTTTGAATCACTGAAACCAAAGACCTAAGGAAGAAGAAATTCCAACATCAAATGTTTAGTTCTAATACTTAAATCTGAACATCTTATCACATGATTAAGTTCAGGTATTGACCATCACGCTCATGATATAGATCATTCCCATTTCCAGATATCTCTCATATGTCTTTTTATACCTGCACTTACCTCATTTAATTTCAAAATGAAGACCAAAGTTGGAGAACTTAAATTACTTGACTTCAAGTAATATTATAAAGCCACACTTATTGTATGGACTGTGATAATCAAGCCCCCCTACCCTTGAAAGGAAACTTCTTTTGAGTCTATCTGTCCCAGCCCCCTCAATGGTGGGAAGAAAAGTTCTGAGAAACTTGAGGATAAGAATGTACATAGGGAGGAGAGGCTTGATGAGAAACTTGAAGATAAGATAGTATGTAGGGAGGAGAGACTTGACATAGCCCTCGCCTCTCCCCTTATACTACATAACACCCCCATGCATAAAGCTAATCTCAATGATTCAGCCTATGTTCCTTTGCTTGCTTGCTGTGATGCAGAAATAGGCTAAAAAGAACCATTTGATCTGTCATTCAGGGTCGTTTGCTTCTTAAAGGCAACAACCCCTGTGCAGGTATAATAAATTTCTATTAATTAATTGCATTGAAGTGAGGTCCATATCTCCTTCTCAGCTGTATAAGTCACTACATTTTTCTGGAGGCCCCAGGGAAATTCATCAGACCCCCACCTGAGCCCACCACCACCCCCACAGCTCCAGGGGAAGGCCTCTGGGAGTTTCCCCACCCCAGAGTTCTTTGATGCGTGAATTAAAGGCATAGGCTCCCAAAATGTTTGATTCAGTAAGCCAGTGGATATCTGTGGATTTCTATGGATCTCTAGAGAATCTGAGGGGGAACAATAGGCTAGGCTGGATGCAGCCTGAGATGCCTGTTTGCAAGGGAGAGATGTCTCCCTGTCCCTGAGGTGTTCTGTGTTGTCCTCGAGGTGTTCTGTGTTTAAAAGAATCCAAGGCAGAGGGAAGACGTCTCCCTGTCTCACTGGCTTGCAGTCCTTTATTAGACTGTTCTGGTATTAGCAGTCATTTGGACTGTTCGGATTTGCAAGCTAGTCCTGTTCTGTATTTGCAGTCTTCTGTTGAGTTGTTCTGGTTTTGGCAGTCAACTGGGCTGATTTTGGTATGTATGTCTTTTGTATGTTCTGCATTTTGTATGAGTGAGTGAGTGAAACCACTTTACACACTCCCTGTGAATTAAAACTTGTCAGTTATTTTGTATTTGATTTTTCAGCTTTAGATCACTTTCTGGGTGGGAATCAGACTTTTACTGTACAGTGTTGCTCTAAAATATTGGTTTGCTTGGCAATGTGCTGTGCTTACTGGCTTCTATCTTTCTTACAAGGCCCCTTTGTACTTCCTCATTTTTTATCTTGACACTGTGGTGTAAATTACCCACCTGCATTGGGATCCTCTTTTTCTGGCAATTAAAGAGTTAATACAAAGTTTGTTAAAACTTTTTGCCTAACTTTTTGCCTGCTAAAAAATGTGATTTCTATGTTACAAATAGCCTTGAGATAAGGTGAAGACCCAAGGTCAATTACTCATTTGAAACTAAAGAAAAACAAAACAAAACAATCCTCTTTACTTTTTTAAAACAGCAGCCACTTGGCAGTAAATTCACCTGTGAATCCACCTCCAGAGGTAAGCCACTTTAACATCTATTTTTGACTAGTGTCTGTAGACATTAATTAAACGTTAATGGTATTTTTGTTGTGCTTATTTGTTGTGGATTGCTGTGAAGCAACATAACTGTCTGTCAAATTCATTTGTTATAGTTTATGTAGAGCCCTTAAGAACCTCTAAGGGAAGGCCAAAGAGACAGAAACTTTGGACAGGGACCCTGGATTGCCAGGCCATTAGCTGGTCTGAAGCTCTTGGAGACATGTGTCGGTAGAACAACCCAACCAGTAGGGAACTTCAGCCCTACTAACCTGTCAGGTACTCCCAGAAATGTATGTCAACACCTGTCACCAGAAACATCATTAAAATAGAAGCAGGGGTCCAATCAACTCCTGAGGTGTTAGATCACTCACAGGCCTGTTAAAAGTGTATAAGAGTGTGTTCTGGTTCTGATTCTGAGAATACATGAGTGTGAGAGTAAGTGTGGACTATTAGACCTTGTTCATGTCGAGCCTGTGTCTGTCTTGTCATTTTGTGTCATTTGTTCAGTGTTTATTAGAGGATTGTTCTTGGCCCAAAACAAACAGTTCTGGAGATATTTGTGAGTGGATTACAGATCTTTTCCTTCAAGGGACCCTTTAAAACTTTGCTTCTTCTGAAATTGCTTTATTTACCTACTTGCTCTTATGTGTCCTACACCCCTCACCACCTGGTGCACCTTTGGCCTAGCAATTATTGGTCTCTTCACCCTTATTACTGGTATTGGGATTGGTAGTGCAGCCCCTCTGAACTGGTCCACTGGAGAGCATATATCCCTGACTTGTTTTTATCTCTTTGTGGTGACCTTGTTCATGCTTCTGTCCATATCTGGAGAATTTTTCCCAGCTAGTTCTAATTCTGTGTCCCCCTAACTCTTTGATACCCCATCATCCATACCCCAGACTTTGGGCCCCTCCTTTTTCTGTTACTTGAGAAGAATTCTATCAGAGCTACTAGCCATCAACATGAAGTCCTCTCTTTTTCCTAATCTAAGGAGGTCTCTATTGCAGGAAGTGAAAACACTCTTAAACCGTATAAAAATCCCAGAGACTTACCCCTTCTGTTTTCCCACTGATTCTGTCTTAAATAGCAATTCTCGTGAAAAATCAAAGATACCCAGATTAAGAAATAAGTTAAAATGTGTGTATGTAAGTGCTTAGAAACTGACTGAAATAAATAACAATATACTTCTTAGTAATCTTGAGAAAGCAGCAGGCAGCTGTGAGGAACTCCTCTAAAGATAAGAACAAACTACACACAAAAAAACCTCTGTAACTAACAACCTCACCCTGGTTTCTCACATCTGTAGCTATAATTATATAGCTGATATTGAACTGAAGAGGAAAAAACAAAAAAAGGATATAAGAGAATTTAAAAAGAGTTCACTAGAACTCAGCATTTTATGCCTAAGACATCTGAATTCTTAACAACAATTAAGGGTTCCTTCCTCTATATTGTTGGTATAAGTGTCTGTCTATTTTAATTCACTGTTTTTCTGCAACACTTTGGTTCCCTGATAGGAGTGTCCCACAACACTCTGACTGGAGATTCCTTAAGTGCCCTCCAGGCTGATTACATGGAGATGAGGGCTTCAGCAGAGTAACGAGGAGGTCCCACAGTGGTCCTCTGTGATAGAAGTTTACCAATAGAGGAATGGACATGCAAGAAAAGAGCAGGCTCTGACAATAAACCTACTATTGTAATTCCACCTCTGAACTAAAGGGCAAAAGTTCCAGGTGTTTTAGTTTTATTATTGGAATTTCTTCAGTGAATCTTTAGTCTCAGAAATTTGAGAATTGAGCCTGAAGGCCACAGATCAGTAATAAAATGAGATTTTGTTAAACTGAGGGACATGCAGAGAGAGTGGAAAATGCCAGAGCTATGGGTAGAGTGGCTGTTCCTTGTAAAGTGTTGTAGTTCAGGCATTCTGGTAAGCTATGCATGGCCCTTGAAATTCTTGGAGAGAGAGTGTAAATCTTGTGCTTTGCAAGGCTGTGTCCATATCAGTAACACGTCCCCAAGATGAACAGCC